ACCCCAAAACCCCAAAACCCCAAAACCCCGGTTTGACATTAAAGAGTTTATTCAAGTAATTAAGAAATGAATAATATTTTGAAGTTAAATTTTACTTTGAATACTCAATTAGAGTATCACGAGTTTTCTGATTGTAATTTATAGATGTAATATCTAAGCTTTTTATAGTATCTCTCGAACATCTTGGGATCATCGAATTGTAATCTGAAAGCTTCTTTTATTGTTTGGTAACCATTCTCGTTTATCAGAACATTTACTTATATGAAATTCTAACCAAGTTTCTTCACATTATTAAGATTCATAGAGTCAAATGAATTAATAACTTCTCTAGTAACTGAGTTGACCAATAGTAAATGCTCCTCTGTCAGAACAATTGTCCAGTTTACAGTTGGATTAGCATAGTGAAGTGCATCAATAAAATGGTCCTTTGAATAAGCTCCTCTACTAATTTTCATCAAATGCTAGACAACATAAGCATGAAACTCATCATAAACCTTGATCAACTATTACTTTCCATAAAATGGTCTCATTGATCTAATTTTAGTTACCTGCTTATCGTTTGAAGAAGCAGTATTTTTAATACCCTCTGATGTTTTTGAAAAGAAATCTAAGGCACCGCTGATTGGTTTCACTACTAAACCACTTACACCTTTATAAGTACCTTTCAAAAACCCAGTAACTCCGTCCTTCTTTGCTCCTGAATAAGGATTCTCTATCACTCCTGTAATTCCAGATGCTATACCAGTGAATGTTGATTTTAGTCCATAACCTACTCCCTCCAAAACATTCTTGGGCTTATCCATGTTATCCTCCTCTCTTTTATTAATAAAGTCCATATCATCAGTAATAAACAGTAAACCTTTGGAAACAGATGAAATCATCTTTGAGGCTGATCCAAATGTTCCTTGCACAGTATTCTTGATTAAACTACTTGTTCCATCAATCAGCCCTTTTCCACCTTCTAATGGTCCTTGGACCATTCCTTCAATAGGCTTATAGAAGAAATCTTGGACTCCTGTTCCCATATGCTGAATAAAATTAGTAGGATTTCCTAAGATATTACTTGATCCAACAAGACTGAATAGATTTTTCTTCAATCTTTCACTATAGTGATTATTTAGCAGATGAGCAATTTCATGAGGGGTTCCAAAAATGTTTTGGGATTTCAGAGAATTTATTCTAATTGGAGCATTATCTACATTTGCTAGAGTTAGTCCAAATGTCCTAAACTTATCAATCAGACTAAACTATTTCTCTGCTTAGTCAATATCCATCTTTACTCTTGATAAAAAGGAAAGTTCTATTTCTATTGGACTAGATTTGTACTCTCTAATGTAAAGCTTTTTACCTTTATTTTCTATATTGTAATTTAGCCAGGATTAGCTGTGTTGCTAGCTGAATGCATTGCTCTTTCTAATGGAAAGGTCTCTTGGAGTGTTTGGCTTTTTAGGATCTAATTTATTAGTTGAACCAAGCTACATAGTTTGTTAAAGTTAATACTTCTGCTTATTCTAAGAAGTTTAAACTTCGGTCTAAGATCTAAAAGCAGTATCAAAGAAATCTTCTTTAAGAGCTTAACTATGTTTCATAGACTCATTTTTCCTTTCTTCATCATCACTATCCTCATAATTTGATTCTTGTATTTAATAAAGTTAGCCTTCGTCATTCATTCTTAGATTAAGTTAATTTACGATTGATTCATCATAATTCAGCCAGTCCTCCCCATTTCCAATATTTCCAGACCTAAAAACTTCGTGGATTCCAGTTATATTGGTATTAAGACTATCAGTTATTTGAGATAAAAATCTATAGATATATCCTATCAGCTCATCATCCATCTAAAGAACCATAGTTTGCATGAGGAAATCAATTTGCTCAAAGAATATAACGTTAGGCACATCTTTTCTCATAAATATGGCTGAATTAAAGAAGTCCTTAACCGTCTCATTGCTTGTAGATTTTTTCTCCTTCTATGCCTTTTTTATCTGATCTCTCTTTTTAACCAAATCTTTCGGATACATGATTATTGGGAATATCTGTTTAGAACCTATGTTATTATCTATTTAAGAGTAGTTTATCTTAAGCTGAAGTTCTCTCTTATCTTCAGTTTCGATCACTATAAATTTGATACCCTCAAGATACACGAAAGCAAATTCCTTTCTAATTTGCTAATAAGTCTTAACTAGCAAAGATATTCCTATAGAAGTAAGCTGAATATCGATAACTTGCTTAGGTATGGTATCAATCTCAGATTTTTCCGCTTCACTCTTTCTTTTTAATACTTCATCAAGCGAGATATCAGAAACTGTAACAATTTTTGAATATCCATTTGTGATTGCATATACAAATAAAAATCTCTACCCCTCTTTCTTCATATCTTATGGAAGATTTATCTTTAGATTAAGCTCAAGATTATCTGGCTGAATATCAATTTTCTGGAATTCATTCTTAGGGTCGATCTCGTGCCTTTCTTTATAAAGTTTAAGTGTTATTTGCTGATCAGCTTAGGGATTAGTCCAGGAAAATATGGAAGATCTTCCAGGCAGCAATACATCAGAATTATGAGGATGATCTTTTTGATAATATTGCAATTTGACTAGCTTTGACTTATTCTCAAGTTTATAAGTTGGAAATTTCTGATTTTCCTCTGAAAATGTAACAAACATTATTTAGTTTGCCTCTTAAAGATCTTTCTCAACTAGAATAAACTTGCTTTGGTTTAATGATTTCGTGCTTCTGTTTATAATAGCAATACGTCCGACTTCGTTCAATGAGAATTTAACTATAACAAATAAGGAATTAATATATCTTACATGTCCAATCATGAGATAAATCGTCATATTCCGCATTCTCCCTTTCTACGCATTTAAATGATATTAGATGAGCCCTTCTAACATCACTGTAGAAAAACGGCATTCTCTAGCCAGACAGTATAATCTGCAGATCTTCAACACTCTCATCCTATCTGATAATTATTGTATTTTTTGTTTTATTGTGAAAAACATAGCAAGGACTAATAGTCGTAACTTTTGTATATATTTCTTCATCGGCACCTAGAATAAATAAATTTCAGATTATTATGTACAGGCAAGTGAGAGTTAAGTCTTGACTTTGAATTCAAATACTGAGAATTTTGATTTCTTTATTTGTATAGTATTAGTAACTGCAGCCACATCAATTATGAAATGATCTGAGAATATTTTAGCGTTTACCCCCGTATCGATGCATGCCATTACTTTTTATTTCTATATCAACATCAAAATTATATTTTTTACACTTGAAAGCAGCACCACTGAGTTATCAGATGCAGACTATTATCCAGCAGCAGGAGTTTTCTTATCATAGTAAATTAGAAGCTTTTGATCGGTATTGTTAATAATTACATTCTTAACGTAAAGAGTTATCTGCACACCAGCCTATCTTGTCGATGACATTTTAGCGCAAACCTCCAATTAGCTGTCCTTATTATTTGCATCTTTAACAATAAAAGTTTTTTCATTTCTAAATTCTGTATTTTTAATTGCCACATCCAACCAAGAGAATTGATTTTAAATAGCTTGATTCTCTTATTATGTCAGGCCTTGTTCATTGTCTAGATTAAACATGAAGTTTACCATGTTCTTGAGATTGTAATTATAGAGTTGCAAAGTCTAGCCTTTCGGGATGAAGAACTCTCTCACTTCATATTCATATTCTTGCTCCTCCTAAGGTTGCTTTGATAGTCTTAGCCTTTCACCAATGATAAGTTTGCTTCTTACTCTGAGATTGCATGGAAGTGCATTTTTAATTATAACTGGGGTTTTGATATTGATATTGTAGCACTTTTTGAATTCACTTTTTTCCTTAGTTATCACACTAAATTACTTCCCATGATAAAGATAGGTCTATAAAGTTAATAAATAAATCATGAATTATAATGTACAGTGGTATTCTTAGGAACTTTATCAATAATGGTTTTGAATTTAATTGAATTAGACCATTAGTTAGGAGCTAAGGCACTGCTAATTGAGAATCTCTGATTCATATCTTCATACCCGATTGGGTAACATTGCCTGTAAATAAACGATGAATTATGAAATTAAGATTAATTTACATTGGTTTAAATTCAACAATTTTAATTATAGTTTTTCCATCTTCCTCTAGAATTTTAAGCTAGTAATCCTAATCTGTCATGTTATTAACCACATATGGGGATCTAAGCATAAACACCTTCCTCATGTTTTCAAATTTTACTCCGAATCCAATGTAGTCATCTTTAATATCACTGCTCGGTCTAAAGTTGTGATGATAATGATTTAAGTCCCTCAGATTCACATCTAAAATGTTGTATAAATTTAAAAGAGGTATATTTTACTTTTGATTATAGACATTCCTTAATTAAATATTACATTTATGTAATCATGTTTTCTGACTAGTTCATCCCTTGAAATTCTCATTAGTTATTTGGCTTCTTCCTCATAATCAACTTCATAGTCAACTTATTCACCTGGCATTAAGCTATATTCTTTTGGGATATTGGATTTCTTTCTTTTATTCAAATCACTCGAAAACACTCTTTTGACTACAATACTTTTAGCAGAGTAATTGACAATAGTATACGGAGTTACTTTATATTCATTTTTATTAGATTCATTGTTGATCTTTCCTTATTTTTTCATGGTGCTACTTGAAACAACACTATTATTAAAGGTGGTTCTGTTATCTTTGATAAGATTTTGCATTTATGAGCTCTCTTCTTATTCTTTATCATCAAGCTACTTGTAAGTGCTAATCAAAGTCTGCATGAGCTACTCAGTGAAATTTAAATTTAAGTCATTTCTACATTAAAGTAGTATCTTTGTCTACTAATCCTGGCTCTCTGATAAATATTAAATCTTGACTTTCTCAATTAAAGGTTCCCATTCACCAGCTATGGAATTGTAATAACTAACCATTCCCTTTATTTATGTATCGCCTACCTTTTTATCATATTCTTCCTGCATTTTATAGAGGAAGTTATAGATATTTGCTGAAATAACGGGGTAGAATGTATTATTATAATCATTAATGACTACGATTTAAATACCCGAAGATTATATCCTCTTCAATCTTTGTTCTATTTTATCGTAGTCAATTTCAAGAGAATCAATCCTATTTTCCTAATCATAGTGCTCTTGGAATGTTTTTCTGGGGTTAAAAGCTAAACTTTCATTTTTAAATTCTTCTTCAATCAACTAGTCTTTTCTCATAGGCTTGAATGTATTTTTTCTTCCTCCTAAAGAAGTTAGCATTTCCAGTGCTTTTTAAGTAGACTTATAAACATTAGATTCATTTCTTTTGAGTATCTATTAATCCTAGTCAAACATAAATAGCTAATTGGCTATCATTTCCTACTAAGTCTTTTTCTTTAACCACTCTGAGTAATAGTCGTTAAATTTAATAAAACTAGCAGAAAATTCCTAGGAAAGTTCATAAAGTAACTTGGCATCATAATAGGAGATTTTAAGCATAATCATGTCCATTTTTATTTCACTTTTTTCGTAGTTTATGATTTTATTCTCAGCTGGTCTGAATTGAAGATATCTTGCGTAAAAGTATGAAATATTAAAAGGAGAAATAATCTATCTCTTGCTTATATCATTAAACTCATAAGTTTCAAGATCATCTAGCTCGCAAATAAATGGACAAACGGAAATCCCTTATAATCTCATCCAAGATATAGGAAGTTAAACAGGCTTTTTACCTAATAGATCTTAAGAATCAGATTCTTTATACAGTTCCCACATTTGATTCTTAATTCTTCTGATTTTTTCTCTCTTGAATTCATATTCTAAATATGACTAGCATGCAATAGTCTTATATTATTTTTCCTGCTGTTACTATTCAGGAGCAAAGCAAACTAAAGTATCTTTAAGTTTAAATTCCAGCTTCATTTCTGGCAAGTCTTCAATGTTAGAATTGTATTCATTTGGCTTGTCAAAGCTGTTAATATCATAAGTGGGCATTCCTTCTGTGAAGAAATTGTAAAGTATTAGGTAAAAGTAAGGATGCACGAATACTTTTATTTGACCAGCTTAAACCACAAAATCTTTTGCTCCATTTGGATACATTGAAATCTTGATTTTTAGTTAGTTTGTTTGCTAAGGTTACTGCTCACCATCATTCTCTTCTTCTTGATACATTGCTAGAACATCGAGTGGATCTTAATCTTAAGGAATCCTATGAAGCTGCCTAAGTTTGCCAAAAAGTAATTGCTTTAGATCCCCCTATGTGTAAAAGCAGCAAATCTGTTCAAATGTTATCTCATAGTTGTACCTTCTATTCAAAAATACATCGATGACAAAATTAGGTTCCTTGAAACCCAGCTATGTAATTAACTAATCTTTTTCATAAAAACTTATCTGAGTGTAACAAGTTATAAAAGTAGTTTATGCTTTCTTCAGCTCATCTTTTGTTTTAAAGTACTCTTCTTCATTCTTAAAATAATAGAATTCATCCAAATAATCTGTATAGGAAAAGTTTAAATCTATTAACTTGAGAATAAAAGTATAGATTTCTTAAGTCAATTTTAATTGCAAGAGCGGCTTAAACTAGATTAGCACATTATAAGATTTATCAAAGTCGTGAGTATCGATATCCTTTAAATAAGGTGAGTGGTTTAAATTTGAAAAATCTACTTTCAATTCAAAATCCTCTGTTAACTGAAATTCTTGATTATCATCTATATATTTGATTCCTAAATCTAGGGCTTCTATAATATAATTGGTCAGCAGAACCTCTTTCTCTGGGCAGTTGTAAAATCTTTTGCCTTCAACTAGTTCTTCGCAAGTTATTGTCATTTCTCCAAGATCAACCTCAATCTTTTAGTTGGAATATGGCCTATCTTTAAGAATTACATAAGGTCTATGAATTTTAATATCCATAACCATTTCATTTTTACTCTATTTTAGATCAAAATTCATTATTGTCTGCTTATCTTAAGATCCAATATTGCTGATTGCTGCGTCTGATTAATTTTCAATCATACATACATAAGGGTCTGTGTCTGTAACAGCCCATAAAAATTTGTCGAAAAAATAATCCTAGAGCCTAAAAGCTAGTTCATAGATGTATAATATTTTTATGGCACTAATATCCAGAATAAGTTGGGATGTCATTAGTGGGATCCTAAGAGGACAAGTTTCAGTATAAAGAATTGTCTTGAAGTACACTTAGTTGCTCTTAATACCATCTTTATCCCTACAACCGATAATTTCTCTTTTCTCCAATTTACTGATCTTATTTAAATCCGCTTATTCTGCGTTTCTTGGATCAATCGTCTTAGGATATGATGTTAAATCGTAGACAATAAAATCTGTGAAGGTTCCTTCAATTATATCATGGTCATAATGCATTTCATAGCTGAATTTTGAATCTCCTATATTCATTTCAAACAATGGAGTTCTATATTTATGATGGCAATTAACTATTGATATTCCACTAGCATTGATTATAGCTTTAATGAGTATTAAATTTATTGACTTGCATGTCTAAACATCTACTTTTTTCTAAATTAGCATATCATTTTAATCTCCATCTTGATGCATTAGCTTATGTTTCAAACTCTCTATGTCTTATTTTCTAGATGATTTGACATTTCTGAAAAATTTTAATGTTTCATTTATAGTAATTGGTTCAAATAGCAAATATAGTTTACCAAGATTTGCAACAACTTTTATTTCACAGTCTTCAATATTGGGAGAATATATATCATAAACATCAATTAAAATTTCACAAAGATTCTTGCCCTCCTCATTCTTTAGTAGTACCTTTTTTAGATCTTAAGCTTCTTCTATCATTATTGATGATAAATCAAATTTGAGTTTAACTTCATAGACATATTTAGTAATTTAAAGATTCATGTTCGATATTTTTGCCAAAAGCCAAAATTTATTATTAGCCTCTCTATTTTTCTATGGTATAAAATCAGTTTGATTCCATATCTTTAATTAGATATTTCCAACAGCGAAATTTAGAATTAGTCCGATTTCATTTGGATTTTTATGAATTATTTCAGATATGGCTTCCCTCCCCTTAACTTAATACTGACCCTGCATCATCTCTTGTTATTTCAGTATGAATTTTTGTTTAAAATCATCTTTTTATTGATTGTCTTAGAATTTTAAATAAATTTTCTAGCCACTTTTTTATGTTACCTAAATAATAAATCAATAAGCAAAGGATTTACCAAGAGCATAAACTTTAACTCCTTGCTATCGACATTTAATGTTTGAATTTCAGGCTCACTTATTCTTGAAACTATTTCGCACTCAGACAAAAATATATAGTACAAAGGCATCAACTCTCTCTTTTCCTTATAGAAATAAAGATAAGATCCTAAGAAATTAAAGGAATTTGTATTTACCTGATAATATAGTATAATAAGATTACCAATAGCTATTAGAACCTTAAATACCCCTGGCTAATAAATCAGACTAGAAATATGAATCTTTGATGAGCTGATCCTTCGTATTTTTCAGCTGAAGTAAATCCTCTTCTGCTCCTTTACTCTTTAAGACTTCATTAAGGTTGACTAAGCCATTATAAATGTCGGGACTCATATTTAGATTAAGATCAGGCAAATTGGCATTAATAATCACCTCTGGATATACTAAACTATTTTGATTTTCACTATCTAACTAAAGTATTGCTGCTTTGAGCTTATTTTTTACACCTACGTCTAATTTCAAAGTAACTTCCTCAAGAACCTCAGCACAATGACCTTGCTTGATATATTAAAGACCCATTTAGTCTATTCTTAGATAAAATCTCTCATATTAATCAACTTTGTCCTCGTTTTCATTGCTATTTTCAAATTAAATATTTCCAAGGTTGACAAGCCATGTCCTATCTCTATATTATTCTGGTTCTCCTACAAACTCACTGTTGTGAGCTTTGAATGGAATTTCAATAATTGGAGAGGCAATTTTGATTTTGAAGTTGTTCGATTTTTTATAGAGAAGATCCTATACTGAGACTGAGGTCTAGTCTTTGATTGATGATAGTTTATCTAGGGCTTATGCTCTAATTTCTTCTGTGTAGTCTTCTTTGAAGAAATCAGCAATAGCAGATATGCCTGCAGCATCATAAACCAGTTTGATAGGAGACTATTAAAGGTTAAATTTAAATATTTACAGATTAAAATTGAATTTCAAGGACATCTAGTTTTTCACTCTGATTGTAGATAATAATTTCCCAGAGGCATTCTTCAGATTGTCCTTCTGATTATTGGATCTCTTAGTTTTCATCCACGCTTTCTTGATGATCTTCATTTTGCTACATTTTATTGTGATTTAGTTTTCCAACAATATGTTTCTTGGAGATTATCTCTTTTTCTAAATTTCTCTCTATAAACAATAAACCAGCATCTCTGTTTCTAATCATGAGCTCAAATGTCTCATTTCTTCTTAAGAGAAAATCTGCGATCATGTCCTGTTAAAATAGCACAAATTCTATAGTTTTATCCTTTTAACCGTTTTCATCAATTAAGTTGATTTTTCCACTTTTGAATTAGCATTGCAGCTTAAATTTAATGATATTTTTCTTCTATTCTTCGGTAAGATTAAGATCATTAATGTCAAATGAGGGCAATTCAGCTAATGAGTTTTTTATTGATTACCTGATTGAATCTATTTCTTCATCATTTAATACGAATTCTTCCTCATCTACTTCCTCTGTTTTTTATTCTTCCTTATGCGCAGTCATGACTCCTCCCCAAGATAAAAAGTATGATAAGATTCCATCTTTTGACTCTTGTTCCTTTTACAGCTATTCTTTTTCAATTTTCTTTTTAATTACTACTCCAATCCAACTAAAAAGATATATAAATAGCTAGATACTTACTTCTATAAATCTTGAAGATCATTAGCCTAGATAATGTGGTTATACAGAAATCTCTCTTCTTCTTTGAGTTTCTCGTATTAAATTATGTAATCATCATTTAAGCATTTTCGCACTAGTTGGATTAATAATCTTGAGTACTGCTTTCTCCTCCAACTGGTTAACTTGAATTCCGTCCAACTATTTGAAAATAAAATTAAAAAATAGATTACGATCCTTTCTTAAACCTAATATCTTTCAAAACGGAACCAATTGCGTATTTCCACCACTCAACTGCATTATTATTTTAGAATTAGGCCTCAACATCCTTAAACGATTCCTAAATCTCTAGCTAATCTTCTTTGATATCCTATTCTTTAGAAACTTATTCTTCCAAAGCATCGAAGAATTCATCATCATCATCAACATCAATCTCAGCTTCTTCTACTGTCTAAGTTATTTCTGCGTTTTTACTCTAAATATTTTTCTTCTTGTTCATCTTTTAAGCTATTTACTGACTAAAACTTCTTCTGAGCATATCCCATCCTTTAGTTTCCTCATAGAAAATTGGGAATATTGGTCTGATATATTTGTACTTTTTAACTTAGTTCCTAATAATGTCAAAGTGAATAAAATTACCCTTGCTATCTGAATTTCTAGTATTATTGAATAAAGTCAATGAACTTGAATATTACTTCATATTGTTTTTTCTAAATAGTCAAACTGAATTCGCTTAAAATAACCTCAACATCAAACATTGGCTTTTCCATGTCAATCTTTGTAATTTAAGTTAGTCTTATTTCAAGTTTGATCGGCTAAATGAAATATGAAATGTCAGCGATCTATTCATCACCATTACTGAACATTGATTCCATCATCTTTTCAATTCTAGAATCCTCATCAGATTCCCCTCGATTTGAATCTTGAATTTTTAGTTCTTCATTTTATTGGTCGAAATTTGAAAGTTAGATTTCATCATCGACCTGGAGATATATGGCAAGTCCATCAATTTTTAATCTTTTATAGATTGGCTTATCTTTGTTTTCTTTCATCATTCTGTCGTAAAAGGTTGAGTCCCAGTTTCCATTGGTAGTATTTATGCTTAACTCTTTCAAAGTAAATCCTTGAGAATGGAATCTTCCAGGCATCGAAACTGAGTCTTCGTACCTAATATGGATATTTTGAATTCTAAGTTGTAAGTTATCTACGATTTTTGTAACTAATCTATCAACATAGCCATCTTCTTTCTAATCTTTCTTTGATTATAGAGCCAATTTTAGATTGGCAGCCATTATTTAAGTGAATTCATCTAACAATTTCTTTTTATACTAAAAACTCCAATTGTCGATAATTTCCCATTCATCTTAGTGCTTAGGAACAACAACTAAGTAGAGAGTTTCAAGAGTTAATTCCACTGGAGAGCTTGTCAGTCTTGTCCAAGGAACTTTTATGCTGAGCTTCTTAATTTTACCAAATTTTAATCGAAGTGGTAGACCATGATTCTCGAAAACATTTGGCTTGATCTTGAGGTTTTCGAGTAATATATTACCATTCCAGATCTATATTATTAAATCTAACTATCTTACACCAAAACTTAAGTTCTATTTGTCGATTCCTTCAATATATTTTCCAAGTTTTTGCTATAAAAACTTTTCTAAAATTCCTTCAAACATTTTCCTTTTTTAATTATATCTTTGTTTAATTCCTATTCAAAGACTCACCAACCTTTATCCAATTTGACAAAGTGGGGTTTTGGGGTTTTGGGG